ACACCAGTTGGCAGAAACATTTTTGCCAATAGTCTCAAACATTTGATCCACAGGGCTTTAAACTGAGTCATGTAGGGGAGTGAGACAGTATCTTGGAACATATCTTGGAAGGCAGGAGTACATCATGGGCTGGAGATAATAGTCAAAGTGTTATAGAGAGAACAAGGCAAATGATGCAAGGGCCCAACATGCACAGAGCATGGAAAATAAACAAGATGAACTTGAACTCATAGCACAACAAAGCAAATATGATATAATAGGCATCACTGAAACCTGAGTCTCATGATTGGAATGGAGGAATAGAAGGGTATAACCTTTTAAAGAGAAATAGGCCAAACAGGAAAGGAGGAGGAATAGCATTATATGTCAGGGATGTTTACACCTGTGAATAGATTCAGGACTGGAAATTAGGTGGAGAGCATCTGGATAAAAATTAAAGGGGAAGGAAACAACAGGGATGTTATTGTAGGAGTCTACTACAGACCCCCAAGTCAGACTGAGGAATTGGATGATGCTTTTCTAGAACAGATTACCACACACTCAGAAAGGAAAGATGTAGTAGTGATGGGTGACTTCAACTATCCTGATATTTGCTGGAAGTCAAACTTAGCCAAAACTTCAAGGTATAGCAAATTCCTCACTTGCCTTGAAGACAATTTCATTGTCCAAAGGTGGAAGAGAAAACAAGGGGATCAGCTATTTTAGATCTGATCATAACCAACATGGATGACCTGGTAAATGGAGTGCAAGTGGTGAGATCCTTAGGTGGGAGTGATCGTGTTCTGAAGTTTCTTATACAATGGAAAGGACAAGCTAGGCATAGTCAGACACTCATTCTAGACTTTTGGAGAGCTGATTTCAATAAACTTAGGGAAACTCTGGGAGTGATCCCATGGCCAGGAATACTAAAGGAGAAGATAGTTCAGGATGGATGGGAGTTTCTCTAAAAGGAGATACTGAAGGCACAATCTCAAACTGTTCCAATGAGAAGGAAAAATGGGAGATGTCTCAAGAAACCAGCTTGGATGACAAAAGACATTTCAACTGAACTAAGTTTTAAATGGGAGATGTATAAGAAATGGAAGAAGGGCAAAATCACTAAAGAGAGATTCAAACAAATAGCTAGCACATGTAGAAGTAAAGTCAGAAAGCCAAAGTGCAGAATGAGCTCAGACTTGCTAGAGGGGTTAAGGACAATAAAAAGTGCTTTTTTGGATATGTCCGTAGCAAAAGAAAGAAGGAAATGGTATGGCCACTGTACAGAGAAGATGGAGAAATTCTAACAGGGGACAGAGAAAAGGCAGAACTACTCAACACCTTCTTTGCCTCACTCTTGTCACAAAAGGAAAAGAGTGTTCAACCTGAGGAAAATGGAGCAGAGGACACAATAGGGGAAATGCAGCATAGAGTAAGTAAAGAGGTAGTACAGGCATACCAGGTTAACCTAAATGAATTTAAGTCTCCAGGACCAGATGAACTACATCCAAGTATATTAAAAGAACTGCCAAATGTAATCTCAGAGCCACTGGCAATAATATTTGAGAATTCCTGGAGAACAGGAGAAGTCCCA